AACAACCCAGAGATCATGACCTGAGCTGAAATCAGGAGTCAGATGCTTAACTGACTGCACCACCCAGGCGTCCCTCAATGTTATAGGTGAAGTTAGTTATTTTTTTATTGAGCAAACATGAATTTTGATATGTGTCAGACACTGGTCTAGGGAAGGGATACAGTAATGAAGAAAGAAAGTAGACGAAGTCCTGAAATTCTTATTCTCATGCAGGTGTCTGTCTCTCTCACTTCATTCTGTCCTTCCCATCAGGCTAGGTTTAGCCAGTCTCAATTGCCCACCGCACTTCTGACTTTAGATGTGGCTACTGCCCTCTGCCTACTTCTGGGCTGTGCTAATGAAGGACCTAAAGAAGCTGACCAGGCCCTCCAGGAAATTACCATCTGGTTGGGAAGAGCCAGATAATAACAGATGAGTGAGCAGGTTGGGTACTCGATGCTCTATATTAGCATATCATCTCTTGGACCCAGTTTCTAACAGGGAAAATGAAAGTAGAAGGAGATGAGTGCACACACCCACCCACAAAGCACCTACTTGCACAAACATCCGTGTAGAGTGGTAAGAGTCCAGTCCTGAGTGCAGGGATCTGAAATCTGTTTTAAGCTCTGGCACTTTTTTTGTGCTCACTCTTTTATGATTTACCTCCGTGTCCTTCATGACCTCATATTCCCCCCCGACCCCCTCAGCGAATGAAGGGTTGAGGTAGACTGGGAAACCTCAGGGGAATCTTCCCAGGTTAAAAAAAATGAGCCTTTTATTTTCGAATTTCTCACAATTTCTCTGAGTTTCCTAACTAGGAAAATAATGAGGGGTTAGGTTAGAATTTAGCTGGGGAGACAGTCACCTCTGGGCAAGAAAGGAAAGTGGGAATGGGGTGAAGGGGTTCCCACCCATCCCTTGACTTCAGCCTCTTTTCCTGAGGGTACTGCTCTTACCCCCTCAGCTCAGATGCCCTTCTCTACTTTCTCCTGCTTAGAACACCAGCTGAGTTGGCTACTCTAGATTCCAGCTATATCATGTTGTGAATGCGACTTGTAAGGGTGAGTTTTCAGGGAACGGAAGGATCTGCCGAAGCTCCTGCCTTCTTCAGCCCTCATCAGTCTCTGTCATGTCCCAACTTCTAAGAATTGTCTCCACCTGCAACTCAGTCTGTTTCCTCAGGTATAATTGCAATCTTTCTGGCGGTAGCCACCTATCCATACAGCTAATTCTTCATAACGGCCGTGAGCAAATCAACTTGAAGATAGTGATTACATTTTTCAAACCTGCACTTGTAGATTTTTATGGACTAAGTTACTGGCAAAAATTATAAATGAAAAGGAAGCCTGTTTTAATTTTCCTGCTATAGCTGTTAACATCGTATAGCCTCAGCCATAGTAAGTGGCAGGGGTGCTTAATGTCAGGTTACAAAAGACAGAAATGTGGTGCTATTTCCAGAACACTGGCCTAAACTAAAATTATTATATGTATATAGTTCTAGGCTATGTTAGAATTCTACCGACAACAAATTGCAGCAGATTCTCAAGGTTAAGAGAAAACTGTTTCAAAATATATGTTATGGCCATAGGTAAATCTCAATAATGAACATATAATGCTCATATTTTAAGCCAATTTGCTTTCTGGAGAAAGCTTCAAAATTATTAGCTTTTGTCTCCTCAGTTTTGAATGATTTAACCAATTGTACTGTGTTGGGTAAATGCAGAGTTTTGTGTTGAAGAACTCCAGGAGACACTATGTATGTTATACTCCTATTATGCTGTCAACTGAATGATGAAAAACATTTGTGAAAAGTGATAATTTGGAGTTTGGAGAAATTGATCCTAAACATGTTTTTCTTTTCTCTTTTTTTAAAAGATTTTTAAAAATTTATTTATTTGAGAGAGAGAGCATGAGCGGGCGGGGGGTGGCGGGGCAGAGAGAGAGGGAGAAGCAGGCTCCCCGCTGAGCAGGGTGTCCGATGCGGAACTCGATCCCAGGACCCTGGGATCATGACCTGAGCTGAAGGCAGACGCTTAACTGACTGAGCCACCCCGGCGCCCCCTAAGCACGTTTTTCTGATAGTACTCAACCATCAGGGCCAGTTGTATGTCAAAGCCACCCCTAGTTTGGATCCTTTGGGTCAACTTCTCCAAAGTCCCTCTTAAGCCAGATGGGACTGGATTGGCCCAGGCAAGAAAAGCTCCTGTTGGCCCTTGCCCACATGCTCAGTCTGGGCCCCAACGTTGTGCTCCTTCTGGCCGGTTAGAGGCTAAGGCAGCAGGAAAGGGCTTGTTTATCTGAGTAGTAGAAGTGACAGGCTTGCTTGTGGTTCAAGGAAAGAGGAGGAAGGCTAAAAGAATGCTAAATATTTATCTCCATTGCCTTATTTTCCATCAGATTTATAAGCAGATTCCACAAATCAAGCCAGTCTGGCCTGCAGCTGCCCTGCCTCCTACCTCTGTGGTCTTTACCCACAGGTTTCAACGCCTGATCCCTTTAGCGTTCTGGGGGGCTGCTATCTTAGTATGAATCAAAATGAGTTCTGGCGGAGGAAGAAGAAGGAAATAAAGTATCCACTAGAGTATTCTGAAAGCCCTGCAGTGCCCGCAATGAAAACATAACTGGAATGTGAAGTCTCTAGTCTTCAACCTTGGAGATGCATGGGGTAGATTTTCTGAGCCTGGTCCAGACACTAAACAGCCCAAAGATCCAGCAGGCAGAAGAAACCATGAAAGTATATGCACATTAAGAATTCTAAAAACTAGGATCCTTTTCCTTATCCTCACTCCTACAAAACTTAACTGAATAACAAGGGGTCAAATCTCCAGCCAGCCTTCTGAATGGTGGAGAACGGTAGTGAAAGAGCACGAGGTGCAGATTCAAGACACACAATGGTAGCCTTAGCTTGAGTGCTCACTGTTGGAAGACACCTCTCTTGTGTGCCCGAGGTTCCTCATTGGTAAGTTGTGGAGGTGAGGTTTTCCTGTTGCTTTCAGAGGGCTCTTCTGGTTGTTCAGGATCCTGTACATTTGTGGAGTGTGTGTTGCACTTCATAGCCTGCTCCTCAGGCACAATAAGAGATGGAAAGTGGGGCTGCTCTTTCTATTGTTTCTTTAGCAGGGGGGGTGTGGCTATAGCAGCCCAGAAGGCACCGCAGTGGTTACTACATTTACAGCACGGGAATAGAATGGTTTTTTGATACTGAGAGTTGAACCTGTCATATCTGCATCCGTTCTTGAAGCCCAAGCATCTCCCGTATCACCAGGTGACTTGGGTTTCACTCCCTGTCCTTGTTGTCACCCACATTCCATTCTTAGGATGGCCTAATCTGGAATTCTAGATCGGGAGCTTTCACATCTGATTAGATCTTCTGACCTTGGGCAGGTCACCTGCTCACTCAGACCTTAGTTTCCATGTATGAAGTTGTTAAGACAGCTGTGGAGTATTCTGAAGTGGCTTTCTATTATAAAACTGAAGATAGCTTTGAGGAATATTCCAATTCTGTAGGACTGGGAAAAAAGAAATATAAATAAATCAAATGTGATCTTACAATTATCTATAAAGCACCACTCCTTTACCACCACATTTATCTTTCCAAGTCTGCTCTTCTTGGGCTGATATTAAAGTTGATTATTTTTAATCCACTGAGTTAGCATTGACTGGGGAATGGAGGCAAGCTGACTTAAAAATGAAAGTATGAGCTTACATTAACTACAAACAGATGGCCAATAAAGATTTGATAGTGTCAGCAAGGCCACAGGTTGTGGGTTTATAGATATTCAAATAGCGTGTGAGATAATTCACTCACAAAAAGAAGTTCATTGAACCCTGGGATAGAACTCTCTGTGCTAGATGGAAATCCTTGTATTTTTACACCTGTTATAGGATTTAACAGTGATACTGGGGGCTGCTCCTTTGTGGCTTTTATTTAAACCTCAATCAAACATATTTTGGGTGCCCAGGGAGCAGTGTTCTCCACAGATTAAATATGAAGAAGTATTTATGTTGATAGAAATTTAGAGATGTCATTCTTTGGATACCATCTCTAATCCTACCAATTTGTGGCAACCTGAGAAATTAGACGAACTCAGGCTCATCAAGAAAATACACTGGGTTCTGACACTAAGAGCTACACGATATGGTGCTCTATGGTCTGTGCATTTATCCAAATATGAGAAGGATCAGTACGTGGCCTTTTAGTATGCTATGGTATTAGACATAGATAGCATGTCTGGCCAGCCTCTAAAGAGGCATGTATTGTCCAACCTGTTCTAGAATGGATTTTCTAGAGACAGAACATTCTGTGATATCACCAAGTCATACACAAATTCTGGCTTAACCTTTAGAGGCCACAGAACTGTAAATGTTAGCATCGACAACAAATGAGGGTTGTCCACTGAAAACTACAAAATATCATGGAAAAAAATTAAAGATCTAAATAAATCAAAAGACATCCTGTGTTCTTAGGTAGGAAGACTTAATATTGTTAAGATGGCAGTACTCCCCAAGTTGATCTATATAGTCAATGTAATCTCTACTCAGATTCCAGTTGGCTTTTTTTTACAGGAATGATCAAGCTGATTCTAAAATTCACATTGGAATGTAAGGGTCTTAAAATATCCAAAACAATCATCAAAAAGAGAACAAAGTTGGAGGACTCATATCTAATGATTTTAAAACTCACTGCAAAGCTAAGTAATTAAGACTGTGTACTGATGGCATAAGGATAGCCATATAGACCAGTGGAACAGAGTTGAGAGTCTTCAACTCATACCTGTGGCCATTTGATTTTCTACACAGTATCAAAACAATTGTTTGGACACACTGGATATTCACATGCAACACAGAAACACTGAAATTGTGCTGAAACAACTGGATATTCACAAGCAAAAGAATGAAATTGAATGCTTACCTCACAACATATGCAGAAATTAACTCAAAATAGGTCAAAAACTTAAATTTAAGAATTAAAACCATTATTCAGCCACAAAAAAGAATGAAGTACTGATTTTTGCTACAACATGGATGTGATGGTTAGGAGGCAGAGTTCTGATGGTGGAGAAGTAGGGGGACCTGGGGCTTTCCTCGACCCTCAACACAGCTGTACTGAGGTCAGATCACTTGGAATACCCAGGAAATCGATCTGAGGATTGGAAGGATTTCCACAGTTGAGGGAGACAACGTGGCAGGTGCGAGGTGTGTGGAAGTGAACTGGGGGAGAGAAAAGGGAGAGAGGGAGGGACAGGTTGAGAGAGTGTGGCATCAGGTTTGCACAAGAAGAAAACTTCTCAGACCACAGACTGTGGTGGTTAATTTTATGTGTCAATTTGACTGAGCTGAGGAATGCCTAGATAGCTGGGAAACATTATTTCTGGGTGTCTCTGTGAAGACGTTTCTGGAAAAGATTAGCATTTGAATCAATGGACTGAATAAAGACCTGCCCTCACCAGTGTGGGTTGGCTTCATCCATCCTGCCGAGGGCCCGAATAGAGCAAAAAAGGTGGAGGAAGGGTGACTTTCTCTCTTGAGATGGGACATCTATCTTTTCCTGCCCTCCAACATTGGAGCTCCTGATCCTCTGGCCTTCAGACTGTGGGACTTACACCAGTGGTCCTCAGTTCTCAGGGCTTCAGCCTCACCCTGAATTGTACCACCAGCTTTCCTGACTTTCCAGGTTGCCGACAGCAGACTGTGGAACATCTTGGCCTCCATAACCTCATGAGCCAATTCCTGTAATAAATCTCCTCTTACATATCTGCATATCTATGTATATCTATATATCTACATCTATATATCTTATTCGTTCTATTTCTCTAGAGAACCCTAATACAATCGGTGACCTTAAAAACATGCTAAGTGAAAGGAACCAGACACAAAGCTACAGATTGTATGATTCGATTCATATAAAACGTTCAAAATAGGTGCATCCCTAGAGACAGCGAATAGGTTAGTGATTGCCAGAGGCTGGGGGAGTGGGCATTGGGGAGCGACTGCTATTGGTACAGATTTCTTTTGGGGGATGATGGAAATATTCTATTTTTTTTAAAGATTTTATTTATTTATTTGACAGAGAGAGAGAGAGACAGCAAGAGAGGGAACACAAGTGGGGAGTGGGAGAGGGAGAAGCAGGCTTCCTGCAGAGTGGGCAGCCCGATGCAGGGCTCGATCCCAGGACCCTGGGATCAGGACCTGAGCCGAAAGGCAGATAGTTAACGACTGAGCCACCCAAGTGCCCCATGATGGAAATATTCTAAAATTAGATAGCAGTGATGGTTGTACAACTTTGTGAATATAAAAACCACCGTATTATACACTTTATTATTTTTTTAAAGATTTATTTATTTATTTGAGAGAGCGAGAATGAGAGAGAGAGAGTACATGAGAGGGGGGAGGGTCAGAGGGAGAAGCAGGCTCCTCGCTGAGCAGGGAGCCTGATGTGGGACTCGATCCCGGGACTCCGGGATCATGACCTGAACCGAAGGCAGTCGCTTAACCAACTGAGCCACCCAGGTGCCCCGAATTATACACTTTAAAAAGGATGAGTTTTATGGTATGTGAATTATATCTTGGTCAAAAAGAAAGCAATATTGAAGGTAATTCTAATTTTGCAAGAAAAAAAGAAAAGAAAGGAAAAAAGAAAAGAGAAAATATTTTCAAGAATCTGCTAGGAAGATGGTATAATGTAAGAAAACAGATTCCAAAGCCACACAACCTGGGAATTCCAAATCCCTGTTACTAGCTGTGTGATCTGGAGCAAGTTACTTAATCTCTCTGTGACCCAGTTTCTTCATCTATATGTAAAGTGCTTAGAACAGTGCCTAACACATGGGGAGCACTATTTGAATGTTTGTCATTGTAACTGCATGCCATAAAATGTGCTATGTTGTAGCGGGAAGCAAAAACCAGTATTAAGGAAGCTATGCTACCCATAAATGACAGTTAAGGAGAAGCAGAACAGGGCAGAGTCCAAAGCAGATTGCTTCACTTGGTTTATTGTCTGAACTCTGCTCTACGTTGACTCACGGAAAGGAACTGAGTTTAGTGGGAAAGGAGGAAGAGATAATATGGGTCCAGGATACAATATCTATATTTAACCTTTCCTGGGTCCTGAAAAGATCCAAAACTGTATTTGGGGAGACATATAGAGGAGGGAACCAGAGCAAGGGATGGTGAAAAGTACTTAATAAATTTTTGTTGTTCAATTTAAATAAATATTAGGCAAAAATTTTGAGGGTTTTCCTCTGGATTTAGATAGTAAAGTTACGATCTTTGTTCTCTTCCTATCTCTATTGGGATCTTGTTACCTCTTTCATTTCAAAATAAAATCAAACAAATCTTTAAAGATTTTATTTATTTATTTATTTAGAGAGTGTGAGTGGGGGGAGGGGCAGAGAGAGAGAGGGAGAGAGAAGCTCAAGCAGACTCTGCACTGAGCGCAGAGCCTGTCGTGGGACTCGAATTCACAACCCTAAGATCATGACCTGAGTTGAAATCATGAGTCGGATGCCTAGCTGACTGAGCCACCCAGGCGCCCCCAAGCCAATCTTTAAAGTTCATGTCACTGCCACATTTTTATTCCCAAAACAAATCAAGAAGCCAGGACGGTGGCAGGTATTTCTAACAATATTCACATCCCTTTGTTTTAAACTGCTTTCGGCATCCTTGTAGGGCGCATTTACTGTTCCTGACTTTTCTGTAGATCTGATTCTTTCTGTCAACATGTAGCAAAGAAGGACTAGATTACATAGCCATTTTGAGGGGATGGTAGAAGGTATTACATTTCTTACTTAAAAGGATGGAGACAAACTCCGTTGTCCACCTTTCCTCTGGTTTTACACTTCTGAATTCTCTTCTATGTGAATATGTGTTATATAGCTTTGGTTTTATCATAGTTTTGCTTTCTTGGATACTAAATAAAAATAATTTTAATGCCTTATATTTTTACTCTGTATATTTCATGATACTTTATATACAAACCTTTGACAAAGAGATGTTAATTGGCTTACTTAAGGTCACACACAAGATTGTGCTAACCCAGGACCATAACTGAGATCTCATATCCCCTTTGCCTGTATTAGGAGAGAATTTTTTTTTAAAAAATATTTTTTTCCTTTATTTGAGAGAAAGAGAGCATGCGCACACAGACGCAGAGGGAGAGGGAGAAGCAGAATCCTTGCTGAGCAGGGAGCCCGATGTGGGGCTGGATCCCAGGACCCTGGGATCATGACCTGAGCTGAAGGCAGTTGCTTAACTGACTGAGCCACCCAGGCACCCTGAGATTCTTTTCATTCTTCATTTCTCCTAGAACTTTCTATTAAGTAATCTAGGTGAGGAAAATATGACCAATTCTAGGGCAGAAGGCAGCTGAAGCCAAAGTAAAGATTAATGCCAGAGCCTCATTATATTTGAATAATACTATTTCTATAGTATTATTAGAAATAGTATTATTTAATGTTCATTTGATCTCAGGTGTTTCTCCAAAGTGCATCTCATATCTGCATCAATCTGTCTTCCTAAAAATTATTGGTATTGATATATGAGAGGAGAAAATGTGTGATCAAAAAAATGATGGAATAATGAGTAGAACTGGCTTGAAATTCTCTGAAATACCAAAGCCTTAACAGCAGCTTAACAGATCTCCAAATCATTTATTATCGAAAAGCTTTAACTGTGGGCAGCAAGGATGCTTCAGAAGAGAGGGCAGTAGGCATGCGAGGGCAGGGGAAAGGGGGAACATGATAATTCTACCTTGGATTTCTGAAATCCATAAAATTCTTTTAGTCTAAAATTTTAAAGTCCTGTCATATGTTATTTGTCTTGCCAGAACGTCTCTGACTAGGCAGTTCAAGGATTATGATCCGTTATTTTATGAATTAGGAATTAAAACCCAGGGATGTGATAAAACTTGCCCAAAATGACAGAGTCAGAAAGAGAGACAGAGATAATGTTAAAACATGGCTGCCAATATAGAACTTTATTAAACTAGAGCCTAATGAATTTTATTTTATTTTTTAATGTTTTATTTATCTATTCCTGAGAGTCAGAGAGAGAGAGGCAGAGGCAGAGGGGGAAGCAGGCTCCCCGCCTAGCAGGGAGCCCGATGCGGGACTCGATCCCAGGACCCTGGGATCATGACCTGAGCCGAAGGCAGACGCTTAACCATCTGACCCACCCAGGCGCCCATCTGAGGCACCCAGGCACCCGAGCCTGATGAATTTTAAATCTGACTATATTACTTTACCTACTAACATTAAAAAAACATTTATTAAAAACTTTAACTGAATATAAAATTGAACATAAAATTAATGAACTTGAACATAAAATTAATATATTTATAGTATTCCATTGTATAGCTGTATAAAAATTTGACATCCCTCTTTGTATTAGTTAGGATTTTCCAGAAAAATAGAGCCAACAGAAGGTTTGTTTGTCTATGTATCTATGTATCCATTGAGATTTATTTTAAAGAATCTGTGGATAGTTGGGAAGTCCAAAATCTTCAGGGTAGGCAAGCAGGCTGGAGACCCAGTTTAAGTCCAATATGCTGGCAGAATTTCCTCTTCTTTTGGGGACTTCAGTCTTTTTCTATTAAGACTGTCAACTGATTGGATGAGGCATATCCACATTATGGAGGGGAGTCTGTTTTACTCAAAGTTCACTGACTTAAATGTTAATCTCATAAAAAAAATTCCTTTACAGAAACATCTAGAATAATGTTTGATCAATTATATTGGTGCCATGGCCTAGCCAAGTTGACACATAAAATTAACCATCCTACTTTTCTTGATGAAAATTTATTTCTACTTTTAATTTTTTTATTGTAGAAAATCTCAAGTATATACAAAAGCACGCAAATAGGTAGGATGGTAGGATGACTACCTATTATTAATTACCCAAATTTAACAATTTTCAACACATGGCCAATCGTGTTTCATTTATATCCTCCACACAATTCCATTACTCAAGTCCTGGGATTACTCTGAAGCACATGCCTATTTCTGCTTTCAAAAGAAATAAATAACAGTATAATAAATTGTTTTGCATGTTCAGAAACATCTTTCATTAAAAAATCCTTTTATGGGATGCTGGCTCAATTGGTGGTGTGTGTGACTGTTGGTCTCAGGATTGTGAGTTTGAGCCCCACGTTGGGTGTAGAGATTACTTAAAAATAAAATCTTTTAAAAAAAAATCCTTTTATAATTGACTCCTGGGAGAGAAATTACTGGGTCAAAATTATGAATGTCATTAAGGCTCTTTTCTTACATGCCAGATTTGTTTCCATAAACATAGAAATTTCGATTCCCTGCTAATATGTTAGAGTGGGCTTTTTAAATAGGGTTCTTCAGAGCATCATAATTCTCTTTCACTTTTTTCTTCTTATATGGATAGACAAAAAAATTTGCATCTTGTTTTTACTTGAATGTGTGTTATTTAATTACTAGTTAAGGTAAACATCTTTAATCTTACATTACCCTTCTTCGATATTTGTTAAACATTTTAGTTTGGTGTATTGGTTTTCTTTTGTTTTTCACTTTTCATGACCATTTATTTATTGTCATTTTAGTAATTTTCTTACTATGTCACTAAGTTATATAGAATTTCTGTTTTTATTCACTGGTTGATCCTTTCTTTGTGATTTTTTTTTCCCTATTGAAAGGAGTCTTTCTCTCTCCTTTTAAAGATTTTATTTATTTATTTGACAGAGAGAGAGCACACACGCAGGGGAAGGGAG